TACGCCCATCTCTAAATCGAGTTTTTAAGGCTGTACTTAGCTGCGGCCAGGTCACGGATGGTACGCTTTTATGGTAACGCCAAAACCACTCGCTCGCACTGGCTTCAAATAAATAAATGGCGTTTCTGGCCACTAGATCAAGATTACCCTCTAAGGTCTGCTTGGTTAGCGCTTCTATCCGATATATGAAATCTTCCACCGACATGGACGAATTTCCGGAAAACCGCACCTTCCATCCTGCGATTATTTGTCCAATCCTATCTGGTCGTAGTCCCGCTATCGGTTGGGATCCCCATGGGGTTACCGAGACATTAGAATCATTAGCCTGATTTATCGGGGCACCTACGGACTCTCGAGTTGGTATTTGGAACAACTGTTCGAAGGTCTGATTTTCTCCACTAGGCTGTGAAGATCCAGCAGCTTGGTCATTCGGCGGCTGTACCGTTGGACTTGCCAAACGTTGGAATCCTATTTCCATAGTCTGAGTCATTTGAGTCATGGCTTGAGACAACAACCCGATTTGACCCATAGCGTCCGTCAACGCCTGTGCCATTTGCGCCAAGCCTGGGCTTGCTTCATTCGCTGGCTCGCTACTCTGAACTGGCATGATTGGTACACCGACTTCAGTTGGACCAACGGACGGTAAATTTTCAGTATTCGCAGCTGGACCTGCTGTCCCACGCTGTGATCTGGTTCTCATTCGAAGCTGAGAAGAATATACGTTCGAGGCGGACGCCTGCGCTACGGCTAATTCCTCAGCTAAGCTAGGAGCAGATGATTGTAGGGGCTTGTTGCACGCCGGGCACACGGTCTTTTCACCTCTTCTCGTATTAAAACACACTAAATGAAATACGTGGTTACAACTTGTTCTTAAAAGCTGTGTCCGATATTCTACCTGTCTTACGCAAATACAACAGATAATATCGGAATGGTCGTTTTGATCAATCTCGTCAAAACTCCAATCCAATGACATCCTATCCTAATTTTACTAATATATGATTTTCTTTTCTACTGTCGATTATTAACTTTTAACGATCGATATATCTACTCTGTATCCACAAAATTCGGAAACCATGCAACATTCGTCTAATAGGAGTGTGTCCCCCACTGACTCTGGTGATATTATTAACAATCATTAATCAGTACAATGAGTCATCGGATGAACTGGGACCGTTCGGTAGTTCTACACCACTGACGGATATCCGAGCAATCCGAAACCCTGACAAACCGATGGCCCTCTACTTATACTGTAGGTCGCAAAAACTGTAGGTCGTCCAGAACCACAATACAGTAGAGCCATTCCACCTACGTCTGTCAAACAAAAAAAAACGGAACAACAATAGAAAAACTGAAGAAGAAGACAAGGTTATGCTGACCCAGGAAATATACCATCTCCGATTCTATTGCCTTCGTTCGCGGGCAGGCCGTAGCTCTAAGCCACTGACTAACCTGATCCAGGCCAAAACGGCAGACAATGATCAGCAACGGTATGGACAAGTTCATCCCCCAAACAACACGCTCCCATCTTGGTGGGTAGGCAGTAGAGCTAATCCACTTTGAAACCTAAATCCGACCGAAACATTAGAACGCGCTATTTAGCGGAGTGGCCTATCCGGCCAGATACTACAGGTTCGTTACTATGCCTAGTAATTTGATTAACCTCGAGCGCGGGGCTTTAAAGTCTTTTAGAAACTGCTACGCAATCCAGCTACTCGAAGTCAATCACCCAGACAATGCACGACCATGTATATCTGTTGGGAATTAATGGATGAAGGAATAAGTCTTGTGCCACTGCATTGAGATGCAGCTCGCATTGGTGTTGATGACTTTATAAAACTTTCTTGGTCGGGGCAAGCCGAAGAAGGGCCCCACGTTGGGCGCCAAATCGTGACAGACTTTTCGAACCAATTGCCATTTAAAATTTGTCTTTACCTGTAGCATACAACGTACAGGGTCGAGGAGCTGATGATAAGTAAACGGGAGTAGGAAGTACGCGCTGGCTTCGGCTTTTGTCTCTGGTCGGCGGGGTGTGGGCATGGAGGAAATTTTACTACCCATTTATAGCTCTGGCAAAGGGTCGAGATAAGAATTTATAAAAAAAAATCGCGTACGAGTAGGGAAAGGATACTAGGAAACGGGATACAGGGGGGTCAAAGGGACAGATCAGCAGGTACACGTAAACGAAGAAGATCACCGGTCAGATCTTTGTCGGCTGCGGTATCGCCCATTGGCGAGAACGCCCACCCTACCATGATCCTTCAGGGCCACCTATTAATCGTCAGGATCCCTCCAACAAAGACTGCGGTGGGTCACATCTCCGTCTTTCGAGGTTGCATGGTTCCGATATAATCTATTTAGCCACGGTTCATTTCCAAAACTACTTTATTTAAACAATCCATAATTCTTCATTTAAACTCCTATCAAACCTAACGCTAATAGGATCTAGTCCCTAATATAAGCCTGCTAGTCGGTATCGTCTTACATTTATAGGGTATTACTAGTATCAAGAGTATCATAGGGGCGAGGTAAGGTATAATGTTCTTAAATCTATAAAAATGATTAGTAGTATGTATATATAGATGCAAGAAATAGGTTACGTGTTCATCATAGGAACAAGGAAACGTCATATGTCATTACGGTAACTTGGTCAGTGCCAAAACCAGACAAAAATCGGGTATATGGAAAGTCGTTTAAAGGCATGAGTAATACGTGTATAAAACCGTGATCATGGTTGAAGACCAACGAATAGTTACCGCACATTCATTCTTTTCAGATGGCTTACTTGTTTTTTTTTTTTCTTATAATCACTTACGAAACGATTAATAACTTTGACTCCCACGCAGAAAGATCTTTCGTTGTGTGTTGGATGAGGTGATTTGATGGGTGGATGAGTATGATGATGTGTGTGATTGTGATGAGTATCTGCATAGATGATGAGATGAATGCGTGGCAACCAAAATCAAAAACTGTAAAAATAATTGGTATTAATACACTACTCATTTGTTCAAGTTCGACTTAGCCCATGGACAGGAATTCCCTTTTGGTTTATACAGTATTTACTTGGCTTTTGCACATTTTTGCCGTATCAAAAGAACATTGTTAAACAGAAAGCGGATAAAAAAAAAGGTTTTCGCATATCGGGTCTAATTTCGAAAGAAAGATAGAAAATATAACTAAATCCGATGCGGGTTCGATGCTTCCCGGCTGGAGACCGAGTTCCTACTCGAGGTCTGAAGGTGGCACACGATTGTACCGGGCGCAGGTAACATCAGCTGCTTCCGATGCCAGGGGTCAATGACCGCGGTCCATCTGCGGCGTGAGGTTAGGTACACTCGCACACTGGATTGCTCGTGGGGGGACTGGTTTATTTGAAGAGTCACTCAGCTCATCCCCATGGGTCGAACTTGTCCAGGCGAAGATTGCAGAGCACACCGATCGGGTTTACTGGAGGAGCAAGTCCATGCCCTCGGCTACCGAACGGTGGTACGGGCACGTGGCCAAGAGGTCTCCGGGAATAACCAATCCGTATCTTCTAGACCAGCGTTTCAATACGTAGATACTAGTGGTGCTAATCCTACACGGAAAGAACAGAACATTTTTCAACGGGTCGCTGCAGCTGGGTGGATAATTACCTCAACAGAATTGCACCACTGTTTCGAAAAATGTTGATACACTGGGGGCGCTCGTTTCCAAATGGTCGAACGGCTGCCCCAGTATTGGCGATTTATAACTGGCGCGTCCACTCAAATTCAATGATCACTTTGAGCCGCACTTGGCACTTGCACTAGGCTTTGACTTTGGGCTTGACCTTGTTTAGAGAACTGGGTCAGCTCAAGCAGACTTCTTTTTTCACTGCCGGTCACTCTGACGGCCACGAGGTAAAAAAGACAGAGGCTGGGACTACTAGGTACAGCAACCCACGTTTTTTCCACACCTTCTATGGTCTTTTTCTGTTATACAGAATCCAGCCACAGCAATATTTAATGAAATATAGTGCAAAGCAGAAAAATTGCATATCTTAGTGTTGCCACTTGGTCGCAAAACGGCTGATAATCTATGTATGGTTAAAGCTCACAAGCTCTGCAACTCGAATTTTTTTCTGCCTAGTTTTAGGCTGTAATTTTGGGAGTTAGCCGTTCATAATTCAAATAAAAGGCACGACAAGCGTCGAATATTACACCTACTATATTTTTATAATTTGCAGGTTTAAAAAATATATAATCTCACCAAGCGGGGGCTCCATCTGGATGGCAGTATTTCTATAAACTCGTTCCTGGGATCTCTGCGTGTCCACAATATGGAGCAGAAACCGTGGGACAACCACAGCAAGTTAAATGAAATATATTTTTTTACAACTATATTAAAAGGGTTCAAGGTTCAAGGGTTAAAAGGTTCATTACAGATGTTGCTGAATTCCTTACGGATCCTGCAGCTCCACTAGTTTTTCTGTCAGAAATGGGCCCCCACCAAAAGGCCTCTAAAAAGTCCTCTGTTCTACTGACTGATTAGTATTCCTGGCTTATTTTTTTTAGGGAAGATACCCAGCATCTCATCCTCGTCAAGGTTATAGTCTTCGTCTTCATCATCATTGTTATTCATTTGCAGTAACATTATCAGTTGGTGCAAGAAAATATTTTCTGTTGAACCACAGCCAAAATAATTGCTTAATCTTCATTTTGAGACAGCAACAGATTAAAAAATTAATAATATTAATAAAATTATGAACTTGTTATTGGCATCAGTTGTTTTTGATAGATGGTGTATGGTTCCAGTGTAAATCGTAGTTTCACATCTTTAAAAAAAATCCCACCGTTCCACATGGATGTGCTCAGTGTGCAGAGACTACATGTCGCGTTCATTGTGGGAAATTGTAACGCAGGTTTATCAGACGTCACAATACACATCGAAAGAATCGATTGGTTTTTGTGAAACCAAAGAATCGATTATATCGATGTTTGAATTGATTTTTGCCCAGCTCTATTAAGCAGGCTGCTGTTGGTTATATAAGTAACATGATTCAGAGTGTTGTGTTTCAGCTCTCGAGGCTCCGGTTGGAAACATCTGTCAATTTATCTTTTTCTATATGTTAACCTATTTCTTTTAATTAGGCTTGGCAGCTGTATCGTTCCTAGTCCACAAGTACGATGTAAGGGCTATTTGAGCCGACCCCGCTTAAGGAATCCGTACTGGAATCTTCGAAAAGAACGCACCGTAAGCAAAGTCTCAAAACTTACTATTAGCCATTTTGACATTGATTCTTGACTTTTAAAGAATACGGAAGATTTTGTGACTGCAGAAAATCAACATTTTGTCAATGAGCTAGTTTATGACAAATACGGTACTCCAGCGCTTATCAAGAGCATACAAGCCCATGCCAATAAATTTATCCAGACCTATGATCCGGAAGATGGCATTCGTCCCTGGTCCCCGCACACTAGGCGTTGCGGTGTAATAGCACGTAAGATTGGTCAGTACCCGCTATGGCTTAAAAATGGCAAAAAAGTGCGCACCACATTGTTGCAGATTGCTGATAACCATGTTATTAAGTACATGCCACACGAAGAATGTCGGCCTCAAAAGAATTTGAGCCGTGTTCATAATTCGAACCAGTATGGCTGTCTCCTCGTGGGCGCTGAAAGTACGAACCCATCCATGCTGACTAAAGAATACTGCGGGATATTTCGCGATGCAGGCGTCGTACCAAAAAAAAATATCATGCGTTTTATGGTCTCACCAGATGGAGCACTAGCACCCGGAACACCTTTAAATATTTCCCGCTTTCGCGTTGGAGAATATGTGGATGTTCGCGGCAAAACGTGAGTATTACGGAGCACTAATAGTTCGAAATAAATAGGACATACATACATACATATGTATGTGTAAATATATACAGCGGGGAGCAAAAGTTTCGCCGCCCATAACAGCCAAACGAATAAAGCCAAGCAAACCAATTTTGTTCCCCCATTTAAATACTTCTATTCTTAACAAATAAACAATAATTTCATGAACAAATACAAATTTTTTAAAGAATGAAAAATAAAAAGCGAAAAAAACGCATGTACTCACTTTTTCACTTTTTATAAAAATTAAAGTAAATCATAATATTAGCATTTTGTGCATAGACCCATATTAGAAATTTCTTTTTTAATACGGGTTGGAATGCTCTCTATCAAATTCCCAAGAATATCTTTTGGAATACGATTGCATTCCGCATCTACACGTCCTCAGAGATCACTTAGGGCTCACGCACACTGTAGCTGAAATTGGAGCTGAAAGCGGAGTTGATAGCTTATTTATAAGCTCTGAAAAAAAAAACACACTGCACCGGTGCAAGTGCGCACATTGCAGACCGAGCTTAGCTGAAAGCTGAAAAAGCTTGCTGAAATCAGCTCAGCTTAGTTTGATCAATTAAGAAATTTTGTTTTTTTTAGCAAGCTGATTGCTGATTTTGTTCAAGTGTATTGGTTCATAAGTGCGAAACATTGTTAAGGGAAATTACGGTTAACCCAGCGCTGGGAAATATGCGGGACTATTACAAATATTTGAATAATAGTTTTATTTCTATAATTTCTGGAAGGCGATAAATTGGGCAAACAAGTTTTATTATTTACCATTTTCATAAGTCAATAATAAATATAATATACTATGTCCCCAAGTACAGTAAACGCTCGAAAGACATTACAGTGTTTATTATTACACAAAATAGTTAATAATTGAAAAATGTAACAATAATTCGTAAAATAAAAGCAATATTAATACAATACACAACGGAAATGTGGTTGAAATACACGGAATTTAAAAAAAAAAAACGAAGAAAACTTCCGTCTGGCTACTGTACGGGCTGTGAAGTAATAATTAATTAATATAATAATAATAATTATAATGATAACTTTTTGATGCCACTTAAGGAGATCGACAAAGGGAGGCAATGGCTTTCAACAATCAGATCAGCCGACAATGTACGCACCTGCCAGCTGATTCTGCGTGAAAAAAGCTCTCAAATCAGCTGGGCTTTCAGCTCCGATTTCAGCTACAGTATGCGCGAGCCCTTAGGTTAGATGGCCAATCCCAAGTCGTAGTTTCACGATTGACCATAAGTTTTCAATCGGATTAAGTTCGGTTCTTTGAGAAGGCCACTCCATCAACTTCAAATTTCGATTAGCCAGCCATTCTCGAAAATTGTTCGCAATTTGCTACGGATTCCTATCTTGTTAAAAAGTTATTTAAATTCGGGATAAATAAATTTCTCCGGAAAATTAAAAAGTTGGGCTTGCAGAAGTTTAATATAGTCCTCTTTGAACATAATACCATCAATTATTTGTAGAGGACCAACCTGCTACCATGTAAATCATCTTCAAACCATAGTAATACGAAATAATCAGGCAGGCTCCGTTTTTCATTTACGTTTTCAGCTAAAATGTTTTGTTTTGGTTGTAAGGCTCTCCAGTTTTCACATATTTTTGCTGTTTGCACCAAAACGAAAATTGTTGTTGCCCTGGCAAATTTTTTCCGAGCCAAATTTGAGGTTGGGTTAAAATAAATGTATTTATAAAAAAAGCAAAAGATAAATTACCCTGATAGGTGTCAAGTTTATGTTAATGCATCAATAAGTCATCTATTTTTTTCTGTTTTCAATTAAGGTTCGTTTCGTTGTATAAAATGCGTTTACTTTCCATTTCGTCAAAGAAAATGTTTTGGTTTTGAAAACGGAAAAATCTTGCAGAATGTGAAAACGGGAGCACCAATTTATGTGATTTTAAAAGTAAACCGAAAAAACTTTTGTGAAAACCGGAGCTGGCTGTATTGGAGGTAGAGCAACCAAATTGTGTGTGCAGACTCCTGTAAGATCATACTGAAACAAGTGCTACGGGAAAACCGAAAACGCAAAATCAAAAACGAGGGGGAACGTTGTGAGTTGCTGCGGATACCGCAACTCTACATTTATACCCGATACATAGTCAGTATGGCTCTCCTCCGGCAGACGCCGTTAATATTAAACGACACGACAAAGAGTGCGTGCGAGAGAGACAGAAAATCAGTCTGAGCGTGACGTCGGGAGCTGCGTAGCCACTGCAAATTGATTTGTTCCTTTTGTCTAAAAAATGATCCAATCTTATCCAGACTCAGCAACCGGATAGATATGGTCATTCTCTATGATTGTGCGTTTTTAGTTTTCTCGATATCGGACCTTTAGGTTTATTTTCAAAATTTCGCCCCAACCCCTTCCGCGCCCACAAAAGACGAAAATCTGTGGCATCCACAATATTGAATATACGAGAAAACTAAAAACGCACAATTATAAAAAATTACCAAATCTACCAGATTGTTGAATCTGGATTAGAACGTATGACTTTTATAGATAAAAGCAACAAATCAATTTGAAAGGGCTACGCAACGGCCGACGACACGTTTTCTGTCTCTCCCGCACGCACTCTTCCCCCTCGTTTTCTTTGCTGTCTGGTCACTGACAAAACAGAAAAAGACCAAGTCTCTTCGCTTGTGGTTTCTGTTTCGTGTTTTCGGGGGAGCGAACACACTATCGTGTCTCACAATAAAAACTTAAAGAGACATTTTTGATCAAACGGTCACAGAAAAAGTGTCAGTGGCTAATCAGAACCAAAAAATGGTCTGTGTATGTAAGATATTATTAAGTTCTTAGGTTACGGCTTATTTCTGCCAATTTTCTACTGCCGCTTGAGTCGCGTCCGTATACTGCAGTTCTCTGTTTTGACTGCCTTTCTCGGTTCCTTTTTATACCCGATACTCAAAATGAGAATGGGGGTATATTAGATTTGTGGTGAAAATGGATGTGTGTAACGTCCAGAAGGAATCGTTTCCGACCCCATAAAGTATATATATTCTTGATCAGCATCAATAGCCGAGTCGATTGAGCCCTGTCTGTCTGTCTGTCCGTCCGTCCGTCCGTCCGTCCCCTTCAGCGCCTAGTGCTCAAAGACTATAAGAGCCACGCCCCGCCCACTTCCGCCCCCACAAAGGACGAAAATCTGTGGCATCCACAATTTTAAAGATACGAGAACACCAAAAACGCAGAATCGTAGAGAATGACCATATCTTTTAGACGCATCTGAATTGGATCGTATTATTATTATAGCCAGCATCAAGAAAACAGTTTCACTTTTTCTCGCCCTGTCTCTCTCTAACACACACGTAGCATAGCCAGCTTTGCTTAGAGTAAAACATTAGCGAGCTTTAGCTAGAGCAACCAAATTTGGTATCCACACTCCTAAGATATCGGACCTTGACGAGTTTGTTTCAAAATTTCGCCACACCCCCTTCCGCCCCCGCAAAGGACGAAAATCTGGGGATATCCACAAATCTCAGAGACTATTAAGGCTAGAGTAACCAAATTTGGTATCCGCACTCCTGTCAAATTTCACTATAAAACGTATATCTCAAAATTTCGCCCCACCCCCTTCTGCCACCACAAATGACGAAAATCTGTTGCATCCACAATACTGCACATTCGAGAAAACTAAAAACTAAAAACAAAATAATGACCATATCTATCAGGTTGCTGAATCTGGATCAGATCAGATCATTTTTATAGCCAAAAGGAACAAATCAATTTGCAGTGGCTACGCAGCGCCCGACGTCACGCTCAGACTGATTTTCTGTCTCTCTCGCACGCACTCTTTGTCGTGTCGTTTAATATTAGCGGCGTCTGCCGGAGGAGAGCCATACTGACTTAGTATCGGGTATAACCGTAGAGTTGCGGTGTCCGCAGCAACTCACAACGTTCCCCCTCGTTTTTATTTTGCCGACAGAGATATTGTTGTCTGTTATCTTCTCGCAGCCGCTGTATTGCTCTCCTATTCATAGCCTATTCACTGATTTCGTGGCCTAAAGCTTCAGCTATAGCGGAAATCAAGTGCATGGCTGCATTATTGGTGATCCTCCACTTACGAGGGTTGCTATTTATATTTCGGGAATGGGCAATACTAAAGCCAATACGTAAAATCTGGCAACGCCATAATAAACTTTGTCATTTTTTAGCATATATGTACGTACAACGTTTTTATGTACAATTGGTTTTTGTTTTGTTCACGATCAGTTAAAAAAATCAATTTGGCAAAAAAATGGAAATTTCTCGAGAGGGTTTTCGTTGGATTATTTTTCACAACTTTCGACGTGGATTATCCCAACAAGAATGTGTTGATGAACTTAGTGCTTTATATGCCGAGAAAGCACCATCAAAAACGACAGTTTATCGCTGTCTTGCAGAGTTTAATAGTGGTCGTAGTTCAGTCGCTGACGAATCCCGTGAAGGTCGCCCAAAATCGGTTGTTGTGCCACAAAACATCGATGGTGTGCGTGAACTGATAGTGCAAGATCGACATGTGACATATCGTGAGATAGAGGCATCCTTGCACATTAGTTCCACTTCAATACATTCCATTTTACATGAACACTTAGTTGTAAAAAAGGTTTGCTCTCGTTGGATACCCCATAACTTATCAATCGCTCAAAAAAAGGCTCGCGTCGATTGGAGTAAGGAAATGCTTAAAAAGTTCGACCGAGGTGCTTCAAAAGATGTTTATAAAATCGTGACAGGTGATGAATCATGGATATATGCGTATGAGCCGGAAACTAAACAGCAATCGACCGTGTGGGTGTTTCAAGATGAGCAAAATCCAACAAAAGTTGTTCGAGCACGAAGCACTTCGAAGCAAATGGTCGCCTGTTTCTTCGGGAGAATGGGTCATGTGGCCACTGTTCCGCTAGAGAAACGTAGGACTGTCAATTCTGAGTGGTACACGACCATTTGTTAGCCGGAGGTCTCCGGAGAAATTCGCAA